CCCCCCCCACCTACCTTGCCCTAAAGTTTGGCACGTTACTTCTGGGACAACCTGTATATATAGGAATTCTTACAAGACTTGCTGCTTAAAATACATTAAAATACATTAAATTCTTTATATTTAAAGGTTTTAACCATTTCATTTAAAGAATTTAGTTCAAAAATAAAATTAATGCGAAACACTTCACCCTCTTCGTACTGTTCAGCTGTCCAACTTGTAATGTCCGTTCGACTATTATTTGAAAAAAGTACATGCATGGCGTTTGTCGTGTTTCGTTAAGTTATCGTTCAGTTGTTTAGTTTAAGGGGAGCACATACTATCCGTCAGTAGTATGTCAATCTACATCCAGCACTAAATACATATATGAAAAAAAGATTTTTTCGACTATATCCTGATATAGGCAATGTTTAAGCCAGGGACCGTAAATAAAAGTTCTTATTTTCCAACAGTTAAACTTGGCCAGATATTTTTTAAGTTCGAAATAAAAGTCTTTCCGGATAGTAAACAGACCGCTTAACCAAATTAAACAAATTTACCAAATGAAGGAGGATTTAAATAGCTTTTAAACAGAAATAACGATCGAAGGCTACCACTTCTATGTATATTTGTTTTTATAATTTAATACAAAAGATATGCATATACCTGACCCAAGGTTTGTTCTATGGTAATTAAAAAACATTTTTTATTTTAATATTTTTCAATAGCTGGCTTTCTGCTGGCTTTCCTAGTTTAAATAGTTCAGTTTTAAACCTATTTTAGTCCTCTTTCAGTTCATACCAAACTTGTTTAATTTGGATAAGCAGTTTGTTTATTTTTAGGAAAGGACTTTTATTTTCGACTTAAAAATATCTGGCCAAGTTTAGCTGTTGAAAAAAGTAACTATTATTTACGGTCCCTGGTTTAAGCTGAATCTAAACAACGAAATCAAAAAAGTGTATACGACTTTTAACATAATGCCCCATATGAATCTTGAACTTAATAAATTCCAAACCGTATCTAATATGTTAATAAATCTTGCCGTCTGGATTAGTTGAAAGAAACTAAAGCCTTTCTTTACAATAGCTCCAAAAAGTTCGTCACCTAAGTTTTATGCAAATGAAATTAACTGCCGATTCAGTGCAGCCAAGACAGTTGGCCAACATCAGTGTATCCAGTGTTATCTTGCTATGCGGGATGCATTTACAAATTTTTATTTTTTATCGCCTAATTGGTTTATCGATTAACAAAGGTTGTTTAGAAAATAGTCGCTTTCAATTTGATAAAATGAAATCAATCACATGGTCGCGAAGCAAAATTGGCGCTTTTAGAAAAAGGGCCTTGGTACCCCCCATACGAACCGGATGTTTCACTGCAATTGAATTTTTCATACTGCATATTCCGGAAAATGTTCACGGTAGAGTAATCGATGGATAAATAAGAAATAATGAGTGGTCAGATGAAAATGCGCAAAGATTTTTCGTATGAAATATGAGCAGAAAAGCGCGTTACATAGATGTACGTGGCGTATGAGTAACTTTCTTTATCACTCGCTTTCCTTTATTAGGAACTTGTTTTGTTTTTTTGTAACAGAACCGGCTTTAGCACAAATGCTAAAATTTGTTATAGTACCTGTTATTTTTTAAACTTTTCTTCTGTTAAAGTTTGATTTTTTTCATTTTTTCTTTAAAAAAAAACTGGAATAAATAATTAATTTCACTGAAACTATCAGTTCTATCGGAAAGTGATGTATATGTGGTTTATGGAGAATTTCGTTAGCTTTTGATTTGATTTTATGATTGTTAAATTCATTCATAAGATATACGTGGTTAAGTGGAAGCACTTTTCGTTTTAAGCTGAATAACGGTAAATTGCAAATATTTCGAAAACGTATCCATAGAAAAAGATAAACTCGATTTACGGAATCACCGAGCAATTCTACAAAGAAATTGGATAGTAGCGTCTGGAGAACAAAAACCAAACTAAAATTTGTGATCCAGTATTATTAGCATTTCACCATAGCAAGCAAATGCTTAGCAAGTATTCGAAAAAAAATGGTATTTGAAGCTGCTGGACATATTTTTACTATTTTTCTAACTTCAAATTTCAAATTTTCTTGGACAACCACATAAAATGTTTTTGGCAATATATTTTTTTTATTTTGAAAAAAAAACATAAACAAATCTTACCCGGCTTCACTGTATCTGCGATATAAACGAAAACATCGTCACATGTTCCTGATGTAGAACTTGTTTCATCAATTACTAGATTTGCTAAAACTGATTGATTGCGCAAAACATCTTTCTATAAAAAGCAATTGAAAAAAAAACTAATATGTGTAATAACTCAGCAATAATTTTTTGCGGCTTCAGCTTTCAAATAACTCACCGGAATGTCAATGCGCCTCACCACTTGATCGGTATTCAAATCGAATACCAATATCTTCGGTTGGCACGTTTGTTCGGAGTCTTCAAATGTGCGCGAGACTGCAGCATCCAAGGCCCACAAACGATTGCAAGAGTCGATACGCATGCGATACACCGAAACTAAATATGGATCGCTGCAATTGAAATTGTTTAGGCCGCTAACAGAATACGACCAGTCGGGATAGGCCTGCAAGATAAGATATGAATGTAAATGTAAAAACCCGTTGAAATGCAATAAAACAAAATCCACATAAATATGTATATTATTTTGTTATTATTGCTTGCAATTTATGCCACTGAAATAATGTCAATCGATTTTTACTTGCAAATGTGGTGACTCGCTGTTATCCGATTTTGAAATGTAGCTAAGCGTTGTGGGCACGCCTGAGAAGAGCTTGGGTGTGGCAATGAATATGCGGTCATATGCGACTATCATGCTTGTCGGCACCACATTCAGCTGATTGAAGTAGTTGGGATCGGAGACTGGCGCATGTGGTGGAAATGCAAAAGAAAATAGTTTCCATTGCTTGACAATCTCTAAATTGGATCGTACAGTCAGCGAGTTCGTCGGCATAACGGTGCTTAACAACAGATGGCAGGCCGCCATCAGCAGCGTAGTTGTAATGTCAGAGCTGGAGCGGCGCATATTGACACTCTAGCTGGGTGATGGACGGATGCTCTGTGATACTGCAAAATTCCCGTTGCTTATCGTTTTTATGCGTCTGGTGCGTTTTGCTGATTGATTTATGACAGCCGAATTCTTTAATTTTGTAGGTATGTTTAGCTGTAAATATTAATGAAATAATTTTTGTTGTTGAGTTGCAACGTAAGCTGGCAACATACTTATATGCAACAATTATACTTTGCTCGCAATTAAAACTTTTTTTAAGTAAGTGTTTTGATAGTTGATCGTACTGAAATTGGATTGGAGGGAGGGGCATTGCTGTTCGCCAATCCGCACAATTTGTTATATATCTCGGGGTTTTAATGTAAAAGTAAATCTTGCACAAACGTTTTGCTATTTTGGAGGATCCTTGCAGGTCCTTGCCACATTAGAATCCAAGAGGTCTTATCCGTATTGCGATTCGTTACTTTTATTGCGATACCAAGTATTCTTAACTTGATGCTTTTCAATTCGATACGAAGTAAGTTTCTATACATTGAGAACACTCTTGAAAAACTTCTTGTTTTTAAATGCGACATTGGTAAAAGTGGATTCTACCTTCCATTTGGAACGGATTACATGCATTTATGTGATATTCTTAATTCAATTTCTTAACTACTTTTCGCAGCAAATATTGCGAAGTAATTTTATTGTAAGAAATAGCTAATGCTACATATACCTTTTTTATATCGATACATAGAGCGCTTTGTGGCGGGTTGTGGCCCGTTTTTAATTGGAGTTGTTGTTATAATACATTTGTATAACTATTCTGTTCCATTTCGGTCCAAAGCTCAAATTCTTAATTAAGAAATGTCGAATAAAACCAGCAGATTTTGTTTACCTTTGAACACGGTTTAATGGAGTGCGTTATAAAGACTGAGGAATAAACCTTTATAAGAAATATGTGTTGAATTGAATCGGTCTTTTTTTTAATACGGTTCTTGCGTAGATATATACAAGGTAATAGTCAGCTTGATGAACAGTGTAACCTTTTGAAAAATGGTAAGAAAAAGTTATACCCTGTCAAAAATTAAGTTAAAAAGGAGTCAAAACATTCGTTCGTTTAAAAGTCTTCGCCAACTCGATAAGTTTCGCGAAACCGATTTTCTTTAAATAAATATTTTTTTTAATTCCCATCAAAATTCAAAATAACATCTTTCAGCTTAATAACGGCTATGTATATTATTTCGAGGTTTCCAAATGGAGTTCAATTTAGGAATCGAAAAATTAAGAAAAAAATCGNTAAAATTAAATGCTAATGCTAACCACAAAAAGGTAACCTGGTCACACTGCTGATGAACTAACAATCTATTTATCTGCACCTTTATCATCTATGAAGCAACCCCTTGGAAGGGTGTGTGGTTATAAGCAAGCTCGATTATTTTTAAGAACTATTGCGTCATCAACTCCTTGTGAACAATTGTTCTCTAGTACTAAATTATTATTATTTTTTAATTTGTAACGATGGGTAATACACCCAAGTAAATAAAGCAGGATGGGAGAATAAAAGAAACTGTCAAAACTGCAAATTTTCTTAACATTCAACTTTTCGATAACAAAAGTAATTTTATTTTGTTAAATTGTCAAAATGTATGATTTATAATAAGAATAAATAAAGAAAAAATAAAATATTTGTGAATTGTCAAAATCCGCAAAAACAAAGTAGCGCTACCTTTCTTCTCTACATCGAGTAAAACACCCATTTTTAATTTAGTACAAAAAAATTTATATAATTGGTACAAATATTCGATACCGAGTAAGTATCGATGCTTCCTTGCCGACACTTACTCGAGTACCGATAATTTCTGTCGATGCTCGAAGCGAGTAAATGTATCGATACTTTATCGGTATCGTTTGAGCCCTACTGGCGATTCAAAAATCAATGCGATTTGAAAGGCGACACGGACTAATACAAATTCGTAGTGTCAGTATTCGAATACAAATGATTTGCTTTTCGAATCGCGATACAGACTAGACCCCAGAATTCGGATAGCTGGTGGGCCAAGCTTTTTCATATTTCTTATTTATGTCTTCCTAGCTTAATCCAAGCCACAAACCGAATTTCATTGGAATCGGATACAATTTAGTGGGCGTGGAAGTCCGTGAAATTAAACCATCTATTTTTTAGCAAAATACTCCACTTATTTCACTGAGCACATTTATACTTCATGTAATTTCAGACGTATGCGTAATCGTAATTCGTAAATTACCCTGTCTCCACGACACACATTTGTAATTCGTTTGGCAGCTCTACTTGATGTTCTTGTTCTTCGCTATTTATTATTATTTTTGTGTACTAAACATATCGAAGATAAAGCAAAAATTTAATTCATCAAAGATTTTATTTATATAGGAAATATTTTATTAATTAATTTTCCAGCAACTAGAAAAAGTGCCCGCAAATGCGACCAGGCCGGTAAAAACTTCGCTCTGAAAATTTTGTATTGCGAATTACATTATTCGAAGGGTAATTGGATGGCGAATGACAAAGGGGAGAGCGAATTACGAACGAGATTGCGAATTACGAATGACTGAACGAATTACGAAGCGTGGAAACGTCGTATTATATGGAGCTCTTTGACTGCGCGGTCCCAAAAATTCACGTCACCATACATATGTACATTTGGATATTAGAAAGCATATACTTCTAACAATATGGGTATCAATCCAAATTATTTTAAAAAGGCGTAATTTCTTAGCTACATTTAGAAGGGTTGCCATCTGTTTAAAAAGTCAATTCAACTTGAATTAAGGTAAGTTGATAATTGAGATATATACATACGTATAACAATATGTTTGTCAGAGAAGATAGTAACTTGAATAGGGTTAAACAAATAAAAAACCGAAAGTCGCCTATGTTTTTGGCTGAGCTTAAGCATGTTGCTTTTTTTTTTATAAATTACGTCTAATGTAGCACGCAAAAATTTCATGCCCTTAGCAAAGCGTATCTGGGTAATCTAGTATATACCGCATGTTTAGTAATATACAGAAGTATTTAAAAATTTACAATTTCGGAGATTTCATAATACAATTAATGATCTTCATAAGGAGAATAGGTTTAGTCTAAACCTAAACTTGCCAAAAATGGCGATGATATGTGTCTTTCAATCTGCTTTTTGTATACTTACTGTATGAATCCATCTATCCAATCCATCCATTTTCATTTCGCTTTTCCACAAAATAGAAATTTTAAAGTAATTATTCATAATATGAGACTTGCGATATGTACATACATACATATGTATGTAGGTACTTATATAAAATTGATAATCAAATATATATTTATGTATGTATATATTTGTTTACTTTTGTATGTCTTTTCCATTAAAATTAAAGCAACGAGGCTATAAATTTACCATGCACCGCTAAGCGGCGCGGTTCAAACAAATCCAATGCCATATGATCTGATATTTTTATATTGAGTGCTTCAGTGAAAGTGAAATTAGTTGTAAATATTTCACATTTTTACGTTATTGACGGAAGCATCATGTGCTTGCATTTTTATGGTCAATTGCATCAACATCTGTACGTTTGTTTATACAAATATATACATCAAACATCATACATTTGTACATCTTTTTGTACATACATACATACATATGTACATATATACTACCGGACCACGGCTCGCCAAGTCAGAAGCAATTTTCAATTGACCACACTCGCTTACACGTTAACCTCTGCGGCACGCTTAATGCAAATATGATCGAATGTGTGCGTTAAGAGAGAATATACAAATATACACACTTTTGCAAACAAACAAAATAATAATAAGCAAATAATCCTAAGTACATTCACCCAAAGTCCAAGTCATCGAAAAATTTATAAAATATGCAGTCCGACCATTTATTGCAACTAAATTGAAAGCGCTTGCCGAAAATGTAAGACAAATAAATAAATATTATCGCCGAAAAAATGTTGAAATACATACATATATAGATATCTACCAGTTATCTGCACAATTGTGTACCCATAACGAGAGTTGTTCGAAATATGTACAAATTTTGCTTTATTTTGCAGAGGAAAATTATATAAAATTAAAATAGTAAAAATTATGCAGTTTACAAAAATGCGATTTATTTAATAAGTGACTTTAATATGCTAGTGTGTTGCATATGCTCAAATGCATGCATGCACGTTAGGGTGGTCAAAAAAAAAGTAAAGTCGGAGTTTTTGTTCTCTCACCGCCTAGGATTGTTCTATCCCGATATCTATATTTTATATTTTGAAATCAAAAAATATTTAGAAGACACTCAAAGCGCTTAAACTTTTCCAAATATTTTCTAGGAGAATAAACAACTTTTCGTAGAAATCAATTTTTTGGGGATTTTTTTGTTGTCGGCAGACCTATAAAATATAGTTAGTATGAAAACAATGTTAAATAAAGAGTTGAGTATTATTGTTGGGAATCTCCTTCAGAGAAACAGAGTTCTCCGATGGAAAAATATTAGTTTTTAAAAATTCTAAACCATTTCCACGAAAAATAGTTTTCCCATGTAAAAAACATGGAAGACAGACTATGAACGCTTCGAGCGACCTCTAAATATTTTTTTTTTCTAATTTAGTGTTTTGCTGGCTCGAGGTCAATTTTATGATAACACAATGTAATGATAATTTTATAATTTTTAATTTTAATTCTTTTATAATTTTTTAATTTTTAATTTAATGATTTTATAATTTTATGATAACACAAAACTTTTATTTATTTTATTTTTTAGTGTTTGTTTCCAATATTTTTCGATTACGCTTACGCGTGGGTAACCGTCCTCAGGGCGAATTAATTTATATCAAACTGCATGTCAAACAGTGCGGACATCTAAATTAATTTGCCGTGAGAAAAAAAAACATAATAAAAAAACTTGTGTTTTCATAAATTTTTTAAAATTGGCCTCTAGCCGGCAAAATACTAAATAAAAAAAAATAGTTAGAGGTCGCTCGAAGCGCTCAAAGTTTTCCATGTATTTTATATAGAGAAAAACTACTTTTCGTAGAAATGGTATAGAATTCTTAAAACCAAGCACTAAAAAATAAACGAAAAAAAAAACTTGAGTTTTCTTTAGTTTTTTTAAATTGACCTCGAGCCGGCAAAATACTAAATTACAAGTAGATAGGTCACAAAAATCATCAGTATATTTTTTTTATAAAAAAAAATTGGGGTATAGAACAATCCTAAGGGGTTTGAGCATAAAAATTCCGGCTATACTTTTTCATACGCATTTTTGGACCACCCTACTATGTCGACCGCTGTGGTGTTGTGGTAAGCATATAGAAAAAAGGTTTTTTCTTAACANTAAAAAACAGCTTCTCATAAAAATACAATCGCCGTTCGGAGTCGGCGTAAAACTGTAGGTCCCTCCGCTTGTGTGACAAGTCGGAGGAGAAGCTCGGCCAAACACTAACATATGTGTAAGCGCCAATCTATTATATTATTATCATTATAATATATGTACATACAACACAACTTGCACCCTATCAAGATAAATGTGTGCCTGTTGTACAATTTAAACTTAAATTACTAGAAATAATGGCGACGCTAATGCGAATGGCAGTCGCAAGCGGCCACTTTCGGCGCAAATTGTATGTTTGTCAAATCGTTATGGTCCTATAATTGCGTGGAGCATAAATACTAAAAAATGCCAGAAGATAATAAAAAATACAAATAAAATATGCCAGGTCCGCTACATTACATATTCACCGCAATTAATCAAACACCTAGAGCTACGCGCCTATACCAAGTATACTGTAATCAATCACTGAGCATTCAATTGTAATTGCGAGCCAAAGACACACCTCGGTGATTTCAACAAATAATCACCAATTTAGTAGCAGGTAGATCAAAATTGCGGCAAGTAGTAAGTCATTTACAGGTTTATGCACGTACATACATACATACATATGTAGGTGCTTCTGGTGGAAAAGTTCAATTTGTGTAGAACAGAACCAAGTAAGTTTTTTTTTTTTTTGTAAAATGGAGCAAAGTAAGGTTTCATGTAACTTTTTAGTTTTGGTTTTTTCATATATATTTGGTAGTACCTTGTTGATTTTCAATTTTACTTTATGGCTGCTAGAAATAACATAGAAAACCGGTAGAAGTGCCTAAAAGGTATGTTTTTTCTTTTTAATTTGAAAGTACCGGTTATGTACTTGGTTCTGTTCTTTCCCAGGAGTGCTTTACTCTTAAGGAGATAATAATAAAACAAGCAACAAAAACTGAAAAATTTGAGTGGAAAGAAAATTTTAAATTAAATTTAAAGAAAATTTAATAAAAATTTAAATAAATCTGATATTTATTTTCCGATTTTCATGGTATTGAAAAGTAGATATCTTATTAATATTAATTTATTCACTCGTTTAATGGTTTTCACTTGTTGGAGCGATTTTCGGCTTTTTAACCTTCCGTTACTATTACGAATTTTACAACACGGTTACTAACATCGGTCCCTCAGACCGAAACGCTAATTTCCTCACCTGAAATACTGTGTTTGGATTGTATATTTAATTCTTATTAGTTGTTGTTGTAATCAATAATAAAAATAAAAAAACATAACAAAAATAAATAAGAAAATTTCATTTAATAATACATTCTGAACAAAAAGTCGAGTAAAGTAATTAATTTTTTAATAAGTCAATAAATTAAATTTTTGAATTAAAAATTTTTGTATTGATATAATAACAGTACATAATAAATATATATGTATATGTGCGTAATTAGTGTCTAATCTCGGCGTGAATCAGACAACTTTTCTCCAAACACAGGAGCCTGCCGCACTCAAAACATACACTAACATCGGTATCACAGTCCGAATCTCTGAAAAGGCGATAAAACACAAGATAGCAGCGGTCAATCTACGTCGGCATCATCAAGAGCACTGATCAACCGAAAGGTAAACAAAAAGAAAAGAAAAACAGTTCAAAAAGCTCAACTCTGTTGTACGGAAAGCTTTAAGAATGTATTCGGTCTGTGAGCCAACATATTAATAACCGAAGGTTTAATATTTATTAAAAATAAATTTGTATCTTAAATCGGTCCTGTTGACAACTTAATTATTAAGAGTTTGCAAACAGAGATTTTATTTCATAAATAAAATCAATTTATATCTACACAACAGTGTTGCCAGAAAAATTTTGTTAAAAATCTTCCAAGTAATGATAAATTCTTCATAAATCTATAAAAAGGTTATTGGAACTGGAAAAAAAATCTTTTTTCTCTAGGAATATCTTTACTGCAGATTTTATACCAAAGAAACTAAAAAATCGTTACTAAAATTTCATGTGGAAAGCAAAACAATCAAGTTCAGAAATTCATAAAAGCTTTACTTGACCAGTTAACAAAACATTTAAGTATTTCTACTTGTATTTTATAAATTCATGTTGCTTTAACATAGGAATTAAAAAAAGTTGCAGAGAACTGCAATTTCCTGAATGTTCAATTTATTTTTGCCAAAAACGGCCGCTGGTTGCGTTATGATACAAAAAAAAAAACATCAAGGAAAAGTGTAAAAAATGGGCCTCATGCATAAAAAGTGAGCTTAAGCTTGGACTCGATTTTCAGTACAAATTCATGACTTTGAGCTCACGCCATCAGTGCAAACTGAAGTCTCAGCTTAAGCTCACTTTCTATGCGTAAGGCCCAATGTACACCAAAGCGCACCCAGCGGAAGTTTTTGGTTATAAAGAACTGCAGATTTAGATTTCTCACACCCAAAAACCGCCAGAAAAAGCCTTTTGATGTTATAAACATTTTCATAGAAAACTTATTGAAACTTTATTGCAAAAACTCCTTAACAAAACCTCGTTAGATCAGATTCTAATTATTAAAAGCAGGGCCTATTCAATTTATAAATAGAAAGATGACATAAAAGCAATCAATCTGTTATTGCTTACTTTTCGCGTTTGCCTCAAAAATACTTGCAAGTATGAGTATATTCCATAATCTTTTTCAAATATAAGTGCTGGCATCGATTCTTCTTTAGAGTATTCGAAATGTGTACTAGTATCGATACTTTTCTAAAAAGTTCTATCTCTACTCATGACCATGCCTTTTTAAATAATCCTTTGTGCAAATAATATCACTTAAGGTGATTTACTGCTTATTTGAAATTTTTGTTTTGTTTAAGTTTATTTGAGACAAACTCTTTCCAGATTTGTGTATTCATCGTCGCTATCGG